ATTGCTTGGAAACTGCAGAAGGAAACTGCAGTTTGGTCTTTGTCTCCCTGTTTTCAAGGAATTGGACATTATATACTAAGCTGTATTAAAGAAATGTTTTTGTCAAAGCAGAGGGCATCCAGGGTGAAGTCTCAATGCTTTAACTTTCTTCAGTTTCCCCAGTTCCAATTCTAACCGCATGTGTGCATGGGTGAGATTGTGTTCTCTAATGCTCTATGTCTGCCCTAGAAACAAAGCTCAGTACACAAAGCTTTGCTGAGGGGAACCAGATGCAGACCACCCTGGTTATTGTGTAGGTATATTCCCTGCTGTCCCAACTGGATTCCTCACTCCACTCCCATACACTCACTATTCAGACTAGTGTGCCAGGTTTGTCTATGCTATATGCTCAGTTTTGCAGTTTCAAAGTAGTTCCTTTTCCTAGACTCCTTTTGAATGTCCTGGTAGACAACACTGACCATTACTTTGACTTTGCTTATTCCATCCCTTTATTTTTCTAATAGAATAATTATTACAAGGCTTGCTTGTTGTGAAGCATATCAGACTACTAACAAGCAATGTTTTTTCTCTGTAACACATTTTTATTTTAACATTTTTCTCTGTAAAAAATATTTTTCTCTACCCAGTAAAAAAGGGTAATGAAAATGCAGCTGTCTTCTTTTACTAGTATTTCATGATTCAATTACTAGTGATAAAAAGAAAGAAGAAATGCAGATGTCAAAAGTCATGGAAGCAGAAGTTTCTGATGAGAATGGTGTCAAAAGGTTTGCACAACACATTAGCAAATCTTTAAATGATTTATTAAAATTTGAAAGGAAGTATGTTTAAGACCTCTGCTACTCTTAGATGCTAGCTGTTTGTCTGATAGTGGAACAATACAGCCATCTCCTAAGATACTATTTAATTTCCAATGAACTTTTTTAGAAAAGCTTTCATCATGTAAGTTCAGTTATGGACAAAGAGGTATAGAAGGCCAAATAGAATTTTGTCTCATCAGTGTCATCTTATTTCATATTTCTTCCAGTGGAAAATGAATGACTTGGAATCTAGAAACAAAACTCTGGATTGTAGTTCACTGCTTCAGAGAAAAAGGAATTTTTGTGTGATATTTGCTGTTTTGACTCAAGTGATTAGATGAACTGCTTTATGAGGCACTGGATCTAATAACCATGCAACACCAAAGCATTATAAATGAAGAATTAGATCACCAGTAAGCTTGGACTTAGTGTTCCTGAGAGCAGAATAGATGGGTCATCCTTGCCGTATCATCTCTTTTACATAGTAAAAATAGCTGTATAAACATCTTAATATTTTTTAAAGACTCATCACAATGGTTTGCCAGGAGAAAGCACAAATTTTTTTTTCAATTTCAAAAGATGTATCAAACAAGACATGTAAGGAAAAATAAGACTGAAAACAGAGGATGCTTCTGTTTTTCTTTAAAATAAAACAGAAAGCCTGAATAAAATGTCAGCTTTTGTGATCAGAAGGGGATGTGTAGCCTGACTTACATCATACGTGGCATTCTTCAAATATAGATAAAGTAGACTAATGTGTCCCTTAGAAGGGAAAGCATAGAAAGGTAGCATGACTTTAGTTCCCATTCCACCAGACTACAATTCTTTGGTAGAAGTTGAACCAGTCCATTAGATAATGTAGGTGCTAATTTCTCATCTTTCAGCTGCTGAACTGTGTTATTAAAGGAGTATCTACACATTTATCTAGCTGCAATACAAATAGTGAACTGAAATATGTAAGAACAGACACGCCACCAAAGATCTATCTAGCCTCAAATACTTATAAGTATTACCAGAATCAGATTCTTATGGAAGAATATAAGGATGAGGAGACTATATAATGATATTTCTCTGTAAAAAAACTTGCAGTTCAGAAACTTCCCGAGCCAGTGATGTTTCAATAACCTTTATGTTCAATAACCTTTTCTTTCATGATTTTGTCTTCTTGCTCTTTGAACTCATGGAAACTTCTGCATCAACAGTACTTCATGGCAACTACCAAAACACAAATTCAGTTGTGCTGTAGGACAAGTATCTCTTTATTTTGGACCTACAATCTACTGGTTTTATATTATGACTCCAAGCAGATGGGATAATGAGTCACATTCTCTGTACAATTCATGACTTTATAGATATAGATCATAAACCAAAATGATCTCTATCAAATGTCTATTTTCTAGGCCACAGACTTAAGCCTATTCAGCTTTTTTCCTCTCATATAGAAGTCATTCTTTATCTTGATCTCTCTCTAACATTTCAAGTTTTGTTAAATACATCCTCAGATACACTGAACAGGACTAACTACAAATTTATTTAAATGAACTCTATGCTTTAAAAAAGGCTTGTGAATACATATTGAAAATAGCTTCAACAATAAGAGCTCATAAATGTGCATTATACTTCCTTTATTTTAGTCCTTGAAATACTAAATGAAATAAATCTACTTTTCTCATCTATTTCTAAGCAGGTTCCTTTTTAAAAGTATGGAAAAATATGTATTTACATGATTCAGTGAGAGTAAGAAGAATAATTATCAGGGACATAGTCAGATATTGTTATTTTAAAATTTAATTTAAATTATTTTTCTTAATTTATATATTAATAATTTAAACTTTCTTATAATTATATCAACATTTCTATATATACCATTCTATTTTAATAGTAAATGCTAATTATCAACTTAATAGTAAGAATCAGAAAGTTTTTAAAGGAAATTTTTCATGTAAGTTGCATTGCTATTTTTTTTTGAGAAACAACATGTCTGACCAATAACTCTTAATCATAGGAAAAAAGCTTAAGATTTAGTTAACTAAATACATGAGTTAGCTTTTGAATATCAGTTGTAGGGACCTGAGAAGCCCTTATCTCATTCCAGAACAATCCAGAGATATTGTTCAACAGAACACACGATTCCATGGCCTTAGGAACACCAGGTTAGGAATGACTGCTACTCAGATGTGACTGAAAGGGAAGTGTCTGGCAAAAAAAATGCTGGTTTGTTTTGTTTTCTCCCCCCCTTATCTGAAATTATTTTTCTAGTTTTATTTCCAAAATGTTATTTCAACTTTCTCATTCCTGGTCCGCCAGGAAAATAATTTATTGACCTTTTCACCCCTTTAACATACAAGTGCACTTGAGTGTAGCAATTGCTTACAGACATTATTCTCAACCAGTTAATTAAGTTCTTTCTAGAAACTATTCATAAATTATCATACATTTAAAAAAATCTATTAGGATAAGTAATGCAAGTGTTTCACCCTTAGGAAAATGTGAAGACTAACCATTTTTTTGGCATTACAAATTTACTTTTTCGCTTTGTTTCTCCTGCAATAAGAGACTATCCTATGTTTCTCACATAAATCCTATTACTCTCTTGTTAAGAATTTTATCTTCTGTGATCACTACCTGAAAGAGCCGCCATAATTTTCTGAGACTTTATTCTTCCTTTTTGCTCATTCCAGTTTCTAAAACCAATTTTCTGCTTTCTCCTATATAATTCCATGTTCCACTTTACATTTTGTTTTCAAATACACCTATACATCAATTAATCAGTAACAAAATGAGTATCAGGCATAATGTGAGTCTGCTACTGAATGGAACAGGGACTCCAATGACAGAGGTTGCACAGAAAGCAGATTTACTGAACACCATCTTTGCTTCAGTCTTCACTGCCAAGGCTACCCCTTAGGAATTCTAACCCAGAAGATCAGGGAGAAGGTTTGGAAAAAAAAGGACTTTCCTTTGACTGAGAAGGATTAGGTAAGAGACTATTTAGTCAAACTTAACATCCTCAAGTCCATAGACCCTGACCGGATATATCCATGACTGCTGAAAGAGCTGGTGGCACCACTGTGAGTCCATAGTTAAAAGGTCATGGAGATCAGGAGAGGTGCTGAGGACTAGAAGAAAGCAAATGTCACCCTGGTCTTCAAAAGGGGCCAGAAGGAGGATCTAGGAAAGTACCAGCCAGTCGGCCTCACTTCAGTTTCTGGGAAAGTAGCAGAGCATTTCATTGTGGAGATCATCTTTATCCACATGGATGATAAGAAGGTGATCAGGAGTCATCAACATGGAGAAATCACAGTTGCCCAGCCTGATTACTTTCTACAATGAGGCAAATACCTGGACAGATGAGGGAAAAGTAGTGGATATAATCTACCTCGACTTCAGCAAGTCTTTTGACACTATCTCTGATGACAGGCAAGCACAAGGTCCTGCACCTGTGTAGGAACAACCCCAGGTACCAGCACAGCCTGGGGCTGACCTGCTGGGGAACAGCGCTGTGGAGAAGGACCTGGGGGTCCTGGTGGACAAGAAGCTGTCCGTGAGCCAGCTGCATGTCCTAGTGGCCAAGGCCAGCGCTATCCTGGGAGGCATTAGCAAGACCATTGCTAGCAGGTCGTGGAAGGTGATCCAGCCCCTCTATTCAGCTGTGGTGAGGGGCTCCTCAGGACAATAGAGACATGGAGCTCCTGGAGCAGGTCCAGCAGAAGCTACAAAGATGATGGGGGGACTGAAGCATGTCACTTATTAGGAAAGGCAGAGGGAGCTGGTTTTGGTTAGTCTGGAGAAGCCTGAGACGGGATCTATCGATGCATAAGTATCTGAAGGGAGGATGTCAAGAGGATGGACCAGGCTGTTTTTAGAGGCGCCAAACAATAGGACGAGAGGCATAGGCAGAAACTGGAACACAGAAATTCTGCTTGAACATGAAGAAGAACTTCTTTACTGTGAGGGTTCCTGATACCTGGAACAGATTGCCCAGAGAGGGTATGGAGTCTTTTTCTCCAGAAAAGAAATTATTTAAGAGCTGTCTGCACACACTCCAAAATACTGTTGGTTTAGGGAAATCTGCTTGTGTAGGAGGTTGGAGTAGATGACCTAGAGTGGCCCTTGCCAACCATAGCCATTTGATAATCCTTTCTGATTCTGTGACCTACTTAAACAGGCACTTGTCTGCTTTTTTTTTTTTTTTTTCCCTCCATTTGACATAACATATGCTGCATGTTGTAGAAATAAGGTGTTACTTTTGAAGGATATTGTGCGCCAGCTATGGAGGAAAGAAGCATGCTATATTCATTCAATATCAGTAAAACCTGTTCTGGTACCACTGTAATCTAGACCAGGACTAATGCATAGTTGACTCCATGGCAAGAAAATCACAATGTGCTTATAGTGTGTTTGCAATACACTAGCCTTCTCTCTGTTTGTGGCCAGTTACTCAAAATTGCCTCTTCTCTCTTTTTATTATTGCGCATATTGTAATTGCTGTTTATCCAGCAATCTCAATCTCAAGAACTGAATAGAGGTTCTTTAGGGGAGATCTAAAATGACTGGAAGATACAGAAACACCCTGAGATCTTATAAACCTCCTGTTCTTTTTATAAATATCTATCTCTCTATTTCTGCCAAATGACTCACTTGCAGTACCTTTAGAAATCAAACATGAACACAAATACATGTTACCTGCACCAGTGTAGCTTAAAGGTAGAACATGAAGGATGTGCAGGTATCCAAACAACAATATTGAAGTCCTTAGTAAGTGTGGCTTGACTTGCTTTAAAAACTCAGGATCCAGTAAGACATTTGAAGTATTCCAATTGTCAAGGCGTGTACTTCAAGAGCAGCCTAACTCAGTGGAGCTTCTAGATAATGGAAGCACAAAAAAGAAGAGATGTTATAATAAACAGATAAACCCTGTACATGTACCCTCTTCTTAAAGTCTTTAATCTAAATGAGATTAAAGAGATCTTTAAATAAATGTACATTACAGACTGTAACTATCAAACTAAAACACTAATTAAAGCAGATATGTTACAGTATAAATTATCTAGGCATAAGGTTTTAAAAAGTTATTTCATCTTAATTACTTAAACCAGTTAAATATTTTGTTGCAACTGCAGACTCCATGCTTCTCTAGATTAAGAAATAGAGAAGATTAATTGGCAAACTCAAGTCTATAGTTGTTTCACTAATAGATCTAGAAGGAAACCTAGAATTTATATAGAAAAGGCCAATCAAGACTGAACCTGTAACTGGTGACTTCTTCAGAATGATAGTTATGACTAGCTAGGGTATTTGAGAGAATCCACCACAATCTGCATTTCTTCTCCTACTTAAAACAAATCTGAGAAAAAGCCAAATGTTTTCATCTTTCAGAATTATGGGTTTTAAGAAATTAGGATATAGTGCAACAAACATTTGAACAGAGTTTTCAACATTTTAAACCTATTGAGGTCTGTGAGCATTTCTGTCATGGGAGTAATGGGAAATTGTTGGCAGTTGATTTAGGTTTCCTGCTTTGATATCATATTTGATGGTATGATGTTGTGTTGTACTGAGCAGTTTCTTTAGTTACTATTTTGCACTGGGTGGTTTTGTTAAATTACTCTGAATGGTTTACGTTGTATCACATGGTTTGTTCCGTATTCTCCCCAGAGTCCTGTGGTTTTCCCCCAGGCTGGTTCCTTCCTTCATCCCTCTCATCAGTTGTATCCCATGGGCTGTAGCTCCTCTCCTGCCAGAAGACAGACTTTCTTCTCCTGGACGGCTACTTCCCAGACTCTCTTTCCCCTGGAGTAGTTCTACAACAAAGTTGTGGGACGTTAATACCGAGACAGAAGAGCGCCTCCCGTCTTTTGCTTTTGTCCTTGTCGGAGAAGCTGGGGTCCAGAGCTAGCCAAACAGGACCCCACAAGGCAAATAACCCAACAGTATGATATTTAAATATCTGGGAAGATTAAACAGTGAAAAAACCCCCAAATAATATTTTCTATTACAGGGGAAGTTTTGAAAACTGATTCGCATTCCATTTTACATGGATTTTAATTACCATTGAACACATATCAGCATAAGAGTATCACAGCACTTATTCCATTGGAAATCTTTGTATTTCTGTAATAGTTTTAAATCTAATCCCAATCTTTTAAATTCCAATATATATTCTCTATCCAAAAGTAATACGTAATATTATGTTTCCAGTTCTATTAATACCTATTTTGCTTGTTTATACTTGAAGAAATTAAAAACAACTCTACAACTGAATTGTTTTATTTTTCAAATTTTTCTGCTTTGTGTTCTATGTTTTTGATTTTTGCCTTCTACTTTTCCTATTCATCATTTAGCTAAGATCATCATAACCATTTGGAGGAATATTAACGAATGAAGATAAGATATATATTGTATAATTTTAGCAATTACAGAAGAGCTGTATAATAAAAGGAATAAAAGAGAATTTGGAGTATCCTGATTTCAAGAGTTGATACGTGAGCTCGACTTCAGTGGATAACATGGTAGCCAGTCCTCCTACGAAGGAATAGAGGACTGGTACTTTTGGAAAAAACTCATCTGCTGTCATTACAGTCACAAGTCTTGATTCACTTGGAGGGAGGCAGATTCAAGTGTTTTTCAGGCTCAGGACTACTGGAAGCTGAGTTCATGCCTCAGATTGAAAACCCATTATGTCAGGTTGGGGAAAGAGCTTTTGGTGCTTAGTTTTAAAGTAACTTACTATGCATCAGATTTCTAGATCATTAATGAACTAAAAATCATATTACAAGAAGTTTGGATTGTATAATTACTTACCCTTTATCAATGACATTTAAAAGGCAATACTCTAATGCATTTGTGTAGACTCTGCAATATCAGCATATTTTGAAAATATGAGAGTCTATCAGCAACATTCAAAAAAGCGAAGCTTTTAGTAACTTGACATTTCTCTTATACAGAACTTGAATTCCATTAAAAAATAATTTTCAATGCATCTCTTGTCTTTTTCACGACAAATAACATTCTAGTAATCTGAGCCACAAGAGGGCACACAATAAGCATTTGGCAGCCCAGTGGCCACAAATGTATAAAACTTGGTAAAAAACACTGCAAAGTATCTCACGTAAATGTTTCAGAAAGCCTAGAAAAGTTAATGTTTGTTGGAACAATAAAATTACAGCTTGTTGAGCAATGTAAATCTTTTTCCCTTCAAGCGCATTTGTAGGCATGAGTTTTTTCCATAAAAATACATCTTCCCTTCTATTAAGCCTTAGAAATTATTTCTCAGTGCAATTAACTTCTAAATGCTGTCTATGCTTATATGTATACATGCTTGTATGTGTCCACATACATCTATGGGTGGAAAGTAAGAAAACATGTAATTACCAGACACTAGATAAGTACATTTGTGAAGATGGTATGAATAAAGGCGGTGAAATAGTTTTAGGAAAAAACATAAATGGAAAACTGAGAAGCAAAAGCCTCTTATATTCTCTCTTTTAAGCCTTGTCTGTTAATTTTATTATGCTGCAGAAAATTTTGAAATATACAGTGCTGTAACCAATGAATATAAGTGGAGAATTTAGAATTGGAGTATTTTGTGTTTCATGATTCTGTAATTTTGACATAATTGCATACAGGCATAAATTCAATGTGCAAGTACCTTATCACTGCATGGTACTGCAGTGACAGACAGGGAAAGGCTATTCACTGAACAACTGTGGTATAGTTCGTGCTAAAACTAGATCAAGAACTGATAGCAGAAGTTCACAGCTAACATTCCTGATAAGAATTTCCAATTACACTTAATAAACCTTCAGATAATATTTAAGTGAAGCTCTGCATCACTGTTACTATTTCCTTCTCATATCACAGTCCCATGTTTATCCACTTGAATAACCATGCCTTATTTTTTGCCATTTGTACTCCCACAAATTACTCCAACAACTTCTACAAGTCTAGTATTTTCTTTTTCCATCTATTCTAAAAATAGTTAAGTAGCACATATAGTAAATACTACATAGCAGATATACATGGTAAAGAAAATACTTTATTGTACTTAAGGAGTTTCTTAGTGCTAATACAGCCTTATTTTACAGATTTATACCAAGAAGCAAGCTCTTGCCTGAGAGAACAAGTAGACAGTCTTAAAAGAAACTAGAAACTTGCAAACTGTTGATTTGGCCTCCTATAGATTACCCCTTCCTACACTATATGTGCCTGGTATATATAAGACATAGCTAGCAACCTCTTCATGTAAACAAAACTATGTTTGCAGTCAAAGTTCAAGTGCTGTCTCTGTTACAATTTGAAATAAATAGGCACAGTCAGAAAAACAGAGACAATTGCTAAGGACTGCTGATAGAAATTCTCAGATCTTTCTATAGAGAGAAGTGGGTGTATATTTTTGTCTGATTCAGACCCAATTCTCCACAAGCCTACTCTGGTTTTTGGTGCTCTAAAAATCAGACTGTAGAATTCTCTCTGGCTCTGTGTGACTGAGAGGTGTCTGCTTCAAATCACTGGCTGAGTACCAATAGTTTCTGTGACAGTTTATGGTAGTAATAATAAGCTACTTCTCTCTATAGGGAAAGAAAACTATGATGACTGCTACTGTAAACAAAAATCAAAATCTAAGAAACAATAGGCAAAATGGAGATAGTTAAGAATATTCACACTAGGACTTTCACAATCTAAACCACGAGTTTCAAAAAACAGTGATAGAAATAAAAAGAGCTATGAGAGATCATTAAAAAATTAAAACACTGGCACCTATAGAAGGCAGCTATTGAAGATAGCTACCTTTACAGCAGCCCCATACCCTTAATAAATCCTTTACTGGTAAATAGTTTTGCAAAAAGGATTAAATAAAAAGATAAATAAAAAATTTGCTTTGTGTTGGCTCAGTTTCAATGAGAAAAGTAGAAGTTGCTGTAAAGCAAGCAAGTAAAAAAGCTGCTGCAGAAAAAAATATCCCCCCTGCTTTTTTTTTTTTCCTTTCTTTCTCTTCAAGATAAAAAGTATTGATTGTGGACAGGTAACCTTTTGGAAATCAGTTCTAAGGAGGAAAAGGTTGCACTTCACAGGCATATGTCAGGAGATGGATTGACGGCTGTTTTTATGAACACAGAGGAGATGGGAAAGATGCACATGGGAAAACACAGGATTATTCCTTTTTACAATCCTATGTAAAAAGGAATCAGGAAAAACTTCCCTCAGAAGACTTCTAACTACACTTTTATATTTCTGGCGTCGCTTGAAGTCTAGGTTACCTTACTTCTACCGTCAGCGTGGAGTACTAGCACTCGTAACACGGTCACTAGAAGCAACAGCCCAGCCGGTGCTCCAGGCCAAGCTTTGCACTCTAAGGGCTCGGCAGGGGCCGGGCACGCCGAGGCGCGGCGGGGCCCGCCCGGGGCCCTCCCCCCGGCCCGGCCCGGCCCGGCCCGGCACGGCCCGGCCCTTCCTTCCCCCGGCCTTCCTTCCCCCGGCCCTTCCCCTGCCGGGCCCGGCCCTTCCTTCCCCCGGCCCTTCCCCTGCCGGGCCCGGCCCTTCCCCCGGCCCTTCCCCCGGCCCTTCCTTCCCCCGGCCGAGCCGCCGCTCCGGCCGCACGTCCGGGCCGGGCCGCCCCGCCCCCGCCGCGTGACCGCCCGGCTTCCGGGAGAGCGCCGGGCCGGCAGCACCGCCTCGGCAACTTCGGCGGGGTGGGGGCGGCAGCGGCGGCGGCAGCAGCAGCAGCAGCAGCAGCAGCAGCAGCAGGGCCAGCAGCAGCAGCAGCAGCAGCAGCGGCAGCAGCAGCAGCATGTCCGGCAACGGGCTCACGTACAGCGAGCAGGGCGGAGAGGCGGCGCCCGAGCTGGCTCAGGAGGCGGCTCCCACCGTGACCCCCTCGGCGCCCGCGGCCTTCGGGCTCTTCAGCAGCGACACCAAGAAGTAAGGAGCTCGCTGGGCTGTGGGCGGTGCGGGGCTGGCGGGCAGCCGCGGGCAGCGGCAGCTCCAGGGGCACGCCGCGCCTCCGCTTGTCTGCCGTCGTGACTCCGCGGAAAAGTTCCCGTGCGTACGTTTAAAGTGTGCTCACATAGTGGGTTACCTTTAACTGATTCTTTTAGTTTGTTTGAAAAACTGCTTATCGATTCTCCTCTAACCGCGGTGGAGTTGTCCTAATTTTGCCTTCAAATGTGTATGTATATATAAAAACTGTTCGTAAAAAGAAGTGTTCGTGATAGTTGTGGTTGGAAATGTAGTGGATCAAGTCGAGGCGGCCAGCTCGAAGTGGGTGTTAACAGTGTTAACAGTGTCTTGGTCAGAAGTCAAAATGAGGAAATGAAAAAGGTAAAAAAAACACCCAGCCAAGTGAACTGGTATAAATAGCTTTCAGCTCCTTAAGGCAAAAGTGGATTGGAGAGGAAGAATGTCCAAATGAAAGGATCAAAAGGTTTGCTAAGCTGGAATTGTATTCTACAACAAATTGGAAATCTATTCCAAGAGCAACCAATAAAAAGCACCATAAACTTAAGGTCTCATGTACATTAGAAAATCAATTGCTGCGTCTTCAGTTTGATTGTTCTGCACAAAGAGAACATCTATGCTCTGGAAACCTCGACTGATGTGTTTATTTGTGAGCTACAGCAGAGTAAATCATGAAAACATGAAGCTGCGGGTACTCTAATGCTTAGCTCTATGAGGCAGTAGCTGATGGGCCTCCTCAGTTTGCCAGATGAGTCTCAGTTCTTTTTCCCCTTCTATTTTGCTAAATACTTCACTTTTTTGTTCTGTTCCAGTTCAAATTTTCTCTGCTCTAGTATAAATGTACTTTTGTAGATCTGTGTGTTTTAGCTGACTTACATTGTTTGCACTCTTCTTTCCTTGTCTCCTTCCATAGAAACAACTTGGCACTTTATTTTCAAACTATTATTTTGCAACTTTCTTTTTTCCACGGGGTGGAGGGTGTGGTAAGGTATCATTGATCATGGCCATACTTTTCTAAATAGCTCATAAACTTATGACTGTTTTGCAGGGGAAGTATAGATCTCTGTTTTATTAAATGCAGAAGCTGAAGTGAGTGATTCTACCTAAGGCTCCCTAGTGATCACAGGGATCACAGGATTCTGGGGTCCTGAGATGTTTTCTACATGTGTATGTATATGGATGTCTTTTAGTATGGAAGAATCAGCAGCTTGTGATATGTAAGCATGCCAAAGTAATAACTGCTCCTCTAGACTTGCTCTTACAGGAGTGTAATCATCTAAAGGAATGACTTGAGAGGAAAACAGACAGCTGTCTGTGGTCTTTTGTAGCTGACAAGCAAATTCTTGCTGAAATAGAGTGTTACCCACAAGTCACTTAATGCAGTTCGCTTCAGCTTAACACTTGTGTGGTTAAGCTCTGAGTATGAATTGGGTAGTTGAGGAACAGATGCTGTGCAAGGAAGGTGATTTGTGTAGTGTGGAAAGACCACTGGACTGCAAGTGAGGATTATTGTTAGACAAGCAGACTGTAGCACTCCAGTTGGAAAATATAGTACTCATTCATCAAGCATATACATTGTGTTTCTAATAGTTCACTCTAGTAATAGTGAAAAACCTGCTCATCACAAGGCAATATAAGAGAATATAGAGAAGTGCAAGATGTGTCCTTGGATCTTGTGCATGAAGGTGTGTGGGTTTAGTGAAATATTCCACTAGTGAAATGAAAATGACTCTTAAGCTCGTTAAAGGTTGTTTGCTGATCTCTCTAGATTTTCTCATCATTGCTGCTATACTCATGTCTGATATTATTGTGTTGTTTCAATGCTTGGCAAACTTTTTTTTGTTGCTGAGGAAGGGGGGATTCTTCCTTAGGTCTTCTGATGATACAAGAAATAATCCTACTCAGCAGAGGGATACATATATAATTCATGGCCCAGAACATAACAGCTGGACCAGAGCCCTGTGCTTGCCTGTTGCCAGTCAGTCAGAACAATATAATGAAGTTAATGTATGAGTATCAAGATACTACTGTAAGCACTTAATTGAAAAAGTTCCAGTCTTTTTTTCTTTGTGTTGTCCGTCTTCCCTGTTTGTCATGAAGAAGTAAGCCAAAATGGTTAGGAAGATAATGAAGTGGTTAGAATAAGTTGTCTCTGATTTTGAGACAGAAGAGCCCACGCAGAGGCACAAATCAGTATTGGTAGACTTAAATCTGAAATCCAAAGTTAGTCAAATATGAAGTATTTGTCCTGATTTTTTTCCTCATATTTTAGTAGGTCTACTCTGCTGAAGTTCATCTCATGTAAAAGCTTTGAGTATCCCTTGGTGCAAAAGCCTATGTGTTATTCTCCTGATAAAGCTGCCTTTTTTACCTTGAACATTCAATGATCTATCCACTAACTTTCAATTACAAATATAATTTCAATTTGATTAATGAACATAGTATTTTTATGCTTGTATTGTAGTTTGGTTAAAATGTGTGCTATCAGTATTGAAAATATATTAGTTTGTCAAAATTTCTGTCCTGGTGACATCTTTATCCTGACAAAGTGTAGTTTTACTGTTAGAAGATAATTAAAGATAACTGTTTATTTCATGGTCTCTTATCTTAATATACACAAGGTGCATTATGTTGCACACACCATGTGTAAACATTGTTTCTCATTAGATGATATACTGTATGTGTCCACTGCAGTGAAAGAAAATAGAAAACATAAAACCACAATTTTGGTCTGCGTCTGTGAGATGACTGTACATGTTCAGGACAGAAGAGAGGAGATGAGGAGGAGGGTTTCCTGATCTCGCTGTAGTATTGCAACAAGTACATATGAAACTGATTTCTTACCAGTGTTGGCTAAACTAAAACTGTTACTGAATAAGAGATTTCATTACAAATGTATTATATTGGTGCTAGCTTTTTCTATGTGTATTTAATCCTGACTAAAGAGGCAAATAGAACTTGTGGGTTTGGTATGCATTGCTGTTAAAGCCTTTTGGTTAGTGAGATGAATGAAGTAGATCTGGTGTTCGGGGAATGGAATTTTTGTGTTCTTTCAGTTAAGCATCTCAACAACTAAATAATTGAAAGATCTTACATATCTGAAATGAGTCAGTCTGAACCTTCTTGTGTGGAAAGGGCCCTGTTGCATGACTGGAGATGCCTTTTGTTTTGCTTCCTCTCTTTCACACTTGAACTGATCATGAACTAGAACTGGCAAGTATGATATTCCTTGATAAAATTTGTGTATTTATGCTTTAAGAATGTATTTGTGTGTCCAGGTTGGTAGTTTGACACTTGCCTGTGAACTGGAATATTCTAGATATTCACATGTCTCGCATGTTTCAAAAAGAAGAGAAAGGGTCAGGTTCTGGTCACCAGAGTAATGGAGGCAGTCTGCAGAGAAATCTTTGCCCATAACAGATGTTTTCAGTAGAAAATTTGTAAGAGCCGATAGGTTATGTGAATCTTATGTACAAGCTGAATCCAGCATGTGGGCCTCAAGCTATTTCTCCCAGTTTTAGATTGACAGACTCCATGCAGTAAGTACTGCCAGTTGGATTTTCAAGATCTGTTTAGTGTAGAGAAATACTATGTGATTTACATCACTTAAGTTTATAGAATATTGTTATAGTTACGTTATGCCTTATTACATCATTATTGTTCTAAGTGGAGGAGTGAAAATTCTAATCACCTTCCAACATGTAAGAGTACTTAGAGAGTTAATTAGAAACACAGAATCCCTGTTAATTGCATATATTAGGGTACAACTATAACTGCCTACAGTTAATCGCAGATGGACAGAGGATTTTTGTCTATGTTAATTGCATTTTAAACAAAACTTGCCTGCATGTAAAATGAAAATATAATAATGTTTGGTACTTGTAAGTGGTACAATTTCAGCAATAAAACTAGTTATTGCTTTAGCTGATAAAATGTAAAAACTTAAGGGTGAACCATAGGAGTAACATCAGTAGATGTCAATTGTTAAGTGCAGTATTGAAGCAGATGGCAAAATATGTAACACACATTTTCAACTTTATTGATTTTCATCTTTAAACTATTTCTGCCAAGCAAAATACATTTATAATTTATTAGACTTTTTTGTTGCAGGTCTGGCTTACATGTTTTGTTGAGCCATCGTCAGAAAACTCGGCAGTGCTGCAAACTCATTTTTCTTTGCAGAGATTTGCAAGCCTATTTTGCAGAGAGCTGAAGGTGGTGATTTCATTAAGATACTCATTCCCCAATTCTCTGTGCAGAAGACTTTTCCAAACCTATTGGAGCTAAAAACTTGATTTCAACAGCTGCCAGAGGTGTTCTTGGAGTCTTAAATTGATCTAGTTTTGTCTTGGCATATTCTGTTCAACCAGTCATGGAGAGATTGTACATAGATTGCCATTTGTGAAATTCTTGGAGGAGACTCCAGCTCTAATTTTCAA